GAGGCCACCTCTGCTTTGCCCACTTGAAGGGAGCTCCCAAAGCCGCCATAAGGGCGTAAGCCAGCACGCCACCAATGCGCCCTCCACGTCCTATAGCGAGGAGCTCGAGGTCGTCTGCATATAGCAACATGTCATTGGGAAATGCGTCGCCCAACACCCAATAGACTAACCTCATCAAGGCCGCACTCAGCCGCGCCCACCAGTAGGGTGTCGAAGCAACCCCGAACGCGCCGACCTTGTTGACACCGCTGTGGTTGAGGCCTTGCAGGCCAAAAAGCCCTGTTCCTCCTCCAAGTATTTGAACCTCCGGTGTGCCTTTGCAAAGTCGCCCACCAAGGACAACACTGCCACATGCCCTGCCTATACTCTTCCAGCAGTGCCGATGCGATGGTTCACTCTGACTCCATGGGCGCCATCATGTATGACCCGCTTCTTTCCGGACAACTCATCCTCCACCAGGACCGCCAAAGCCGCTACCGCCCTGTTCTCACCGAAGGTCTCCACGAATTCAACCTCACTCATCTTCATCGTGAGGCCCTCTGAAACCTCTTGCTCGAGGTGCTCCACCAAGTACTTTTCATGTTCTGCGGCAGATGCATAGTTGTCCTTTTGCCATACTGCACTGCCACCGTCCTCACTCTCCAGGTTCCAACGCACCTGCTCCTCGAAGATAGCCAGGGTCCTCGGGAGGTCATTGATCACGCCCAGCGGTAGCCCAACCTTGGCCTGGAAGGCCCAATCTGGATCCTCCGCCTTCCCGAGGACGTCTTGCATGATGCCCAAGAAGAACGGCTGGCCCGCTTCAGGAGCCTCCTGTTTTGCAAGACCAAGCTTCTCCACCAGGATATCCCTGACCTCGCGCAGGAAAACCTCATCTCTGACAAGCCGAAACGCATCGCCCCCTCTTGCCATCCGGAAGGCCTCTTTCTCAACCTCAGCAACACTACCCAAGCGACGAACCGCCGCCAGGAGCAACTGATGTCTCACACTCACCCATTCTTTCCCATCTAACATCTTCCTGTCATCCGGAGTCCATCTCCCCGGTGAAGCAAGCCCCCCTCCATCACGAAATGGTGCCTCAAAACACTTCTTTGCAGCCACTTTTGAAGCTGAGGTTGCCATAGTCTTCTCACCCCCCCCCATACACTCTTTCAGGAAGGAGAATGGCTTCTGCCGTCCACCGGCAGAGTGCAGGAGGCCACGCTGCTGACTGGGCCGTGCGGAACACCCCATTCGTCTTACCGATCAGAGGGGCGCCCCTGATTGACGTGGCAGGGGTCCCAAGTACCAGCCTTGCTCGTCAAATTGAGGAGGGCCCAAGTGCATCGCAGGATGCAAGGGTGCAAAAATACGCATCAAGAATCTGGTCGGCTTGGGCGAGGTCGTACCAAAGTCCGACTGTGCGAACACAACAGTCTGGGTACCGTCAATCTCCAAAAGCTGACTAATAAACTGCACAAACTGCCACATTGAAGCAGGTTGATGCCCTGGGATCCTTTCGTAGTGAGTTCGGCCCAAGTCTTCTGGCTGTTCCATCAGCCCCACACGGCGCTTGCACGCAAACTGACGTTTCAATGCTTCAAAGGAAAAGTCAGCTAAAATCGTCCCGAATTCTGCCTTGTGAAAACGCTCTGTCCTGTTCCAGGGGAACCCTCTCGGGTATAGATTGAGCTCCTCAATGGGAACGGACCCAAATCATTTGCCCACACTGCTCTCGAAAAGGTCGAACAGGGTGGCGTGACAATTACGGCATAGTAGATGCGTTGAGCAATCAACTGTAGCCACTTCTTCTGCGCTGACGGTATGGTGAAATCTGTACGTCGGTCAGATTGGATGTCCAATTCTGTGATCTCCACACGAACACCCTTTCGTTGCGCAAGCCTCCGGAGAAAACCTGCAACTGAGTTGCGACGCTTCTTCCCCGAAAACACGTACAGGACTTTCAAAGTCCCTCACTTCGCCCCGTTCGTGTCAGGTGCCCTTGCCTCCTTTCGAGTCTTTGGGCTGCATTCGTTTGTCACTGTAACAAATCCCGCACACATGGCGGTACTTGCACTTGCTGGCCTTGCATTTCTCTCCTGGTGTGTTGTAGCGGAAGCAAATCAATTCACCATCAGGTGTGTGCGTTGCGCAGTGTGCACTGCTTCCCTTGCCCTTGCCTTTCTTCGACTTGCCCTTCTCTTTCCCCTTGGAGCCCTTCTCGGTTGCCGCCCACTTCTGAGCCGGCTGCTCCCTCCATGGTGGCGTTGGCCTCTTTGCATAGAGTGCAAGCGGTGTCGTGAAGTTCCGCTCCTTGACTGTTGCATCTTTCCATGCTGTCTTTAGGGCTACCGTCAAAGGCTTCCCTTCTGTATTTGTGATCCTCACGGCTTGCTTTCGAATGGCCCGCTCATACGCAATGATCAACTTCCATGGTGGTGCTGCAAAGGTTTGGCCTTCTGCGTCCTTGGCGCTGAGCCCATACACATAGTCACCCAGGAGGTAGTCCTTGTATTGCTCTACTGTCTCCTCCCGTGCACCCTGAAGCTCACGCCGGTTCAAATGCTTCAGGGATATCATGACCATTGCATTCTTCCAGATGGTCAAGCGCCGCCGAAGTTCCTCAGCGTTTGCCGGTTCTGGCATTTTTGTTGAGGCCTTGCGCATGGCCAAACGGCCCTTGGAGTCCCAAATGGGCACGACTCCATCGGGCTCGACTTCCTCTTTTGACACAACTTCGGTCAGCTCTTCGGCCCTGTATTCACCCCCTTCAACCTCTGACAATTTCTTCTCGATTAACTCTTTGGAGGGTACACCTTGTCGTCCAGCTGGCCGTACCTCTTCTCCAGGGCCGCACGCATTGCTGCCCATTCCCCTGCAACCACGGGCCGGGACCACTGCAGCGTATCATACTCTGCGTCGACCTCCGCCGCCTTCTGGCTCCTGGTCCTTGCATTACCGAACGCACATGTAATTGCAGCAACTTGCACCCGCTCATCTAAAGACCTCTCTGCATCGAGTTCCCAGTGATCTTTGAGGACCGTGACGAGATCGTCTCGATCCTTCGCGAAGTTCGACAACTTCTCAAGGGTAGTCACCCCATGGTGAAAGAACAACTTCTGGTTGTCTATGCTCACCTCATGCCTTGAGAAGAGGTACTTGATGTCAGTACCTGCTACCTCAAGCGCCTTCTTGCCCTCATCCTCAGTGATCGCTGCGCGCGGCATGTCAACGCCCCTCTAAGAGCGCCCCCGCCCGACCTGATTGAACCGTTCAGGTATGCAGCATGCGATGCTGTCGCTGACACAGCGGTGCCTTGCAGTGCATGCTATGCACCTACCCTCTCACATGCGATGTGACTTGTCTCTCTTGCTCTGAGGTGCGACCCCCGCCTCTTCCTCCACTGGTAGCGGCCAAGCAGGTCCCTGCTATCCTTCTCAACCCCCAGTGCAGCGAGTCCGCTGGGAAGGGTTCTCGCTGTGCTCAGACCAAAACCTCTCCCAACCTGAAGGAATCAACTGACCATCGTATCCCTCCAGCAATGCCATCGTCCTCGCGCTCCCAGCCACGGCCTCCGCATATAATGCGATGCCCCATAGCGTGTGCCGTAGAAACACCCCTCCGGGAACAAGAACGTCCTGTCCTTTGGCATCTGGGTCTTCACCAGCTCGAAGCCTACCGCCAACCACTCCTCTTGCAGCACGTAGGCCTCCTTCGCGATGAAGATCGGAAGTTCTCGGACACGTTTGCCTGCTCCAGTCGTCTTGGTCTGGTGCATTATCCCGATCAGTTGGCCATCGTAGAACCTCAACTCAGAGGTCTTCTAAATGTGCTGCATCATCAAACCTCATCGAACCCCATAGCTTGATGAGCTTGAACCAAGCACAAACTCTCACTTCAAATTGCACCGCCCTGTCGACCACCAATGTCTCCATGGGCGCAATGAAGCATCCCAGCCAGCGGGGCGCCCGCCTAACTGGTGGCGCCTTTTGCTCCAGCATCCGTGTCAACTCCTTCATGACCATCTGCGGGAAATCCTGGTTCATCATCCTCTCCTCCTCAGCCGTTCCAGCCGTCTTCTCAAACCATGCAACTGCGGTGCTTACGGCCAATGGTATGGATGGGCCCATACCTTCCTCTTCTCTTGCGTACATATAGTCGACCAAGGTCACGGACGTCGGCCTCTGTCCCGGCTTCCCCAAGCAGTTCGACCATAGTCGGAAGCGCTGCCAGGATGCAAGATACCGCCTGATCGTCGACAGACGGTACTTCCCCAGGAGGGCGTCCTTTGCCCTTGCAGGATTCTTGGCCTTCATCACCTCATCCAATATAGGGGCCTTGTAGATCTCTAACTCGTCAATCAACGTCTTCACGACCTTCTCATTCACTTCCTCCTCCGCTGCAATCCGCCCACTCCTCAAGCGGACTGTCCGCCCAAGAGTCCCCCTCTTCGGAATCATGGGGAGGACAAGAGCTGCCTCCACAGGCTCGAGGGCTTTCTCCTTTTCCTTCTCCATCACGGCTCTGGCATCGAGCATGTTCTGGATGGACCTCGTCGACGTGGACCCAGTGAGGCGCTCATCAAGGTCCGCCATCTGCACGGCTTCCCGTACTTGTCCTTGGATAAAGGCTGTATGCCAAGCCTTCACCTCCAGACCCAGCCGATCAGCCAGCTGCCTTGCTAGCGTGGCCTTGCTTCCATGGCTCACAGCTAGTTTGGACCCAGTGAGGCCCACCTCGCTCAAGAGGCTCAGCAGCTTTGCTGCCTCCTCTGGATCGGGGGCACAAGTGCCCCCCTCCATCATACCTAAAAGGAAGATTCACCTGCCCTCGAGCCTAACAAGACCAGATGCAAAATACTGTCATGACGTGTCATGAGTGTTTATCTCTCTTCAAATCAGGCAATCTCTTTGACAGCTTACAAAATAGCTCCACTGCACCATTGGTCTTGCATGGGGGCATCCATTTTGCAAGAACACCTTTCGACAAGAACACGTAGACTTAGACTCTTGGCCCTGGACTGACTTGCCCAGATCTCTTCGGCAATCATCAGAGATGTCATCGCCTCAGAGACAGCACCTCCGGACACTCTGCATGGCAGCATGTTCATTCTTAACTTACTAGTAGCAAGGACGCTATTAGGTTGGAGGCCATCGCTACTAGTAACAAGAAGCTACCAGGGTGCAGGCCATTGCTACTAGGAGCAAGGACGCTAAAAGGACTGTTAAGCGTTTGAGTTTGCATTTGGGCCCTGAAATCCACAGGTTTGATCCTCTGAGTCTTCTTGCGGTGCTGGCCCAAGCAATGAACTTGTGATCTGGCCTCAGTGATTGTGGAATCGCAAACCCAATCACTGGCAATAACGTTTAACAATATCGTGAGGTCATGGAGACGAAGAGTATGGCCATGTGGCGGTGAAGAATCAACATGAGTAGTGGGATCATGACTGACATGGCCGCGTGATATTTGATCAGGACTGGATGCCAATGAGGCTTTGGCCGTGGAGCAGTGCTTTGTAGCATCCTATCGGCGTTAGGGCTGTGGTCAACATCAATGTGTAGTTATGCTGGAACTATAACTATACCCTTCAAATTGACAAAGAGAATGAGGTTTTGGGATGTTTTGGGCTGCTTCAAGATCATGTTGTCATCTTCCTCAATCTTGTCGCTTCTTTCTATGATCTGTAGAATCCCTGTCGATCGTCAGCCAGCGCATTTGCCTGCCTTCTGGCAGGAATTGGGAGCAGCGCTGGCATGCTGTATCTTATGCAGGGCAGGTGTCACCATGTCCTGCAATCAGCCCAACAAAAAAATCACAATTCCTGGAGCGGCACCTGCATTCACCGAAAGACATGCCTGCAGTTTGTGAAGGCATGACAACACAACACTATATGTTTTCTGCCTTTTAGCCGTGAACACAAATCAGAACTCTGCACCACTTTGTAGGCTAGTGTAGACAATTGTAGACTCATGTTTTTCTCCTGGACAACGTTGTTGACTGAGCTCCTGCGCAAATTCGATAATGTGCCTCTCATGTTTTATGAATCTATGCCGAAACTTTGGGTCCCTGACAGCATGTCCAAAATCAGCGGATCTGGCTCCCTGAAAGGCTGCGCGCCGCCTGAGCAGCAAAAGGGTGTCTCCCAGTTGCGAAGAAGGCTGACGACTACAGAAGCAGCTTTGGAGGCAAGTTTTCTCACTCAGGTGCAGCACTTCTGGCTGCCAGCTGGGCACATTTGTCCCATAGCCTGGAGTGCACTTTTGAAAGGAATGCTGGAGCAAGCTTCTGCACTTTGCGATCGTAACTCAGAAGTCCGTTGACCTCACATTCTACGTCAGTGGTTTGTGTGTACACACCTGCTGCAATTCCACGACACATCCAATCGCACAAACTCTGCATGGAGCTCTCATATTTGACCTCCAGCTCTTCAATGTCCTCAAGGCATAGCGATCTCTTGAACCCAATGGCCCAATGGGCCTAGTTCTTTGTAAAGGTAAAACAAAGAGAGTACAACATAACTTCAGATGAGATGCACAGGTTCTATGTTCTAGAGTTCTACCACCGCCGATTCTTGAGAACCCAACAGTGATCAATGGTGTGCTCGCAAGCTGCACCGCTTACCTAATGATCCACTAATGGGCGCTGCAAAAGGAATGGCCACTTCGTTCGAGCTTGAATAGCAGAAATTCATTGAATTTCGACTTTAACAGCAACACTCAGCATCCCAAGAAAACGCTTGTCCTTGAGAACATTGTAGCCCCAGTTCTTTCGCGCAGTTTGCCACAAATGTTCCTCTCCCAGCACCAAGCCATGACCTCCAAACTCGCCCACTACTTTGATGAATGGCTGAAATCGTGCATCAATGGGAAACGTGGGTTCAGGATAGTTGTGGTGGTCAACAATGTCGCCCACTGCAAAGAAATTCCCCCCACTTGCGATATTTATGAGGCGCGAGCAGTCATAGCTTTGAAGCCATTTGGCAATCTCCTCAGTGTCATGCTGACCCCAGGCCTCATTGAAAGGTACCCACACCGCGATCGCTGGGCTGCTGTATAGAGCCTCTACCATCTCCTGCAACTCCGCCAAGAACTGTGTTCTAGCCCATTCTGGCCATTCTGCTTCCTGACCATTTGGCTCCAACCGGCTCCAGGGTGGTACCTTAAAACAATCGCCCTCCTTCTCAGTGCCTGAGACTTGGTCTTGCCAAACCAGAATCCCGAGCACATCGCAATGATAGTAATATCGCCGTGGCTCCACCTTCACGTGCTTTCGAATCATGTTGAAACCAGCCTGCTTTAAGAATTCAATGTCCGAACGCATAGCTTCGTCGGATGGTGCTGTAAGAAGTCCATCGGGCCACCAACCTTGATCCAAAGGGCCCAAATGAAAACAAATCTCATTGTTCAAGGTGATACGCCAATGCTTCTGGTCTTGCCTTTTGCCAATTGTGCGTATCCCAGTATAAGACTGTACTCGATCTACCACAACGCCTTCGGACAGGAGTTCAAGGTTAAGCGTATAAAGATAAGGCTGCTGAGGAGACCAGAGCTTCGCTCCAGGAAATGGGAGGTGTAAAGCAGCATCACAGCTTCCAGTCACCTCGACTGGATCGCCTTCCTTCTCTACAACCACTCGCAGTTCCAAATTCTCTCCTTCTACTGCAGCCTTGAAGTGCATGCAAGGTGGATCTAAGGTGCTGTCAATTCTCAGACTCTTGATGTATTGGGGAGGAACTGTTTCAAGCCAAACAGTTTGCCAAATACCAGAGACACGAGAATACCAAATGCCGTGTGGTGACTTAGACTGCTTTCCCCGCAGTTGAAAGTTGCCAGTTGCATCAGTCACGAGGACGACCAAATCGTTGGAATCACGAACAGCTTCCGTGATGTCAAACTCAAAAGGTGAGAAGCCACCCAGGTGCTTGCCAACTAATATCCCATTCAACCAAACAGTTGTGCGATAGTCAACAGCTTCAAAATGTAGCAAAAGCCTTCCGAATTGCTCAAGGCAAAAACAACAACCCTCTGCGTATACTGAGTAGACATATAAACAAAGGTGTAATCTCCCGAACATTATGGTATGTATGAACCATGTATGCAACTGTCTACACCAAGCAAATGTTGACACGTCTAGTCTAAAGGAAGTTATTAAAGATCAGGTAGTGAATGTCAGCTTTTCGATGTACCCCACTTACATGGACCCTGAGAAATGACCCGTGGACCGGACCCGTGGAAGACCAATTTCCTCTACAACCTCGGGTTCCATGTTAATCTGCAGTGGAGCATACCTTCTTTTGTACATCACCCAAGTCTTTCAGCCTCCCTACAGTGGACCTAACATCTCGTGCGTGTACGCCAAAACAGGAGCAAGCAAGGTGGGATCATCTCCAAGATCAAAACATGTCCCGCCAAACATTTACAACAAGATATTGCAAACAAGATACTTGGAGCTGCCTAACTTCTCCATGTTGAAGGTTCGATGATACCAAAGCTCCTCGTTTGGGTCCAATCTCTGTCCAACTCCGCCCAGAGTTGATTCCAAGCAGAAGGGAACCAGAATCTGTTGATCTGTGTCTCTGACTGCTAGCATATCTTGTGGTCCGTGTTCACTTTGTCTCTGATCTCCGCTTTCTTTTCCAATAATTCGGCATCGCCACAGTCCGTTGAGGTTTCTCCAAGAATCTCTCCGCAGCTGCGGTCGTGGATACTCGCTCCAAGGTGTCTCTGTTAATCTGCTCCCCCACGGGGTCAGTAGTGCAGATTTCTCCCGGATCTTTGAGTTCCCCATCAGCGTAGAACTGCAATCATTGCTTGTCAGCTTGTTATGAGCTCGAGGAGGATTCGATGTGCGAACACTGGAAGGAAAAGCTGTTAATCCACTGCGTCCTTTCTCGCGCTTTCAAAGCTTTCCTGCTTTACTTTCATGCTTTGAAACTTTGAACTATTTATCATTTTCTAGTGAGCCTGCTGATTTCGAAGCAAAAACATGACTGTTGCGCGGCCTTGAGGCACAACAAAGATCGGACAGGACTCACATACTGGCACAATGCAACCATACGCAGCATCATGCGGGATCCTGAGGTTCCGGACTCTCTGTGAGGTCAAATTGCAAAGGTCCAGGAAAGAATTGTCGGATAGACTGCGAGAAAAAGACATCTCTCTGTATCCCTGTTAGTTTTTGTCTCTCGCACAATCTCTCTGTTCCACTGTCTCGTTGATTCAAGGCTCATATTCAAATATTTGGCACACTATCCTTAGTCCTTACGTATTCTGGCATTCGTCAGCATCTGGCCCTCGCCAACATGTTGATACTCTTGAAGTGCTTTAGATACTGTTGGGACAGTGTGGCGGAGGGAACCTAGCAGTCACAAACGTCTCTGCACCCTGAGCATGTATACATGATGCGGACACAATGTGGGCTTGGTACAACTTGAACACCTTGCCAGGTCATCCTCAACACTTTGTCTGAGAAAAACGGCGAACCAAAACCAAAACAGCCAAAAAATGCGATCGGCGATCGGCGATTTTACAAATCGAGGACAACCCCGAACATTTCAGCGCCTCAGGGGGGATGGCACCATCCTGTGCAAATTCAACAAATTTAACGACCTTTCAAACTAGCTTCTTGTTCCTAATAGCTTCCTGCTCCTAGTAGTAAGGCCAGGAGCCCCTAGTAGCGTCCTTGCTCCTAGTAGCGATGCCCTATGTTCCTACTGCAATCTTTATGAACTTATATAAACATGTCTAGTGCGACCTCACTCACAATCTCCACCGTGTAGCCAGGCGACCCGCCCACCTGATACAAGATTATTTTTTGGGGGCGGGCAACGATTTCTCAACACATTGTTACATGCCTCAGCAACAAATCAAGCTGGAAAACAATGCATACAAACAACCTGTCTGTCGTCAATGAATGTTAATGACGGGGCCATAATGAACACGGCTGTCACATTTGATCGTTGAGCTCTTCGCCATTCGCTTTAACTGGTTGTCTAGTTCAGCTTCTCGCCCTTGGAACATGTTAGAACATACAATTCCAAACATGTGGAAACACCTCAAAAACCCTGCCGATCTTTGTCGGCTTTGGTTCCTCCAAACTTGTTGGAAACACTCTGAGTTCAAAGCCACGACCAGCCTGCGGCCTTGATTCAAAAACGGCAACCACAGAATAAAACTCATTGTCCGGTGCCCCACAGGATTAAGGATACCCAAGGTGAAGACATGCCAGCTCCAACCGTCGGTGTTGCCTCGCCAGCTGTCATCGTCGAGACCCATGTTTTCTCGATGCGTTACAACGATATTTCCATCACGGCATGTGTGAAGGGGTGCTCAGGCCATGTTGTTTCCCTTGAAGTTGCTTGATTTGCACATGGCCAAAGTATGCCATGTGAACACATACTGTACCCTTTTTAGGACGCCAGCATGTGAACACATACTGTACCCTTTTTAGGACGCCAGCACTGATAAACCGATATGATATGTTGTTCATAGGCCAATAGCTGGGGACCTTGAAGCCAATAAGCTGAACCCCGCACAGCCAACAGCAAACCGACAAGTGGGATGGGGCCAGGGTTTGCAGGGCCCAAGACCAACGGACCAGTAACATTCCCACATTCCCAATAAAACATACGTATATATAGATGATAGTGCCCTACTAAGTAGTTTGAATGCGGTGCGTAGAATGCCGTGAGTACCAATGCAACCGATCACAATGTTGTCAAACCAATGACAATCTTGTGTGCATTCTGCGCGAATACCACTCACACCAAAAGCACGTTTAAAACACGGTGAAGACCACACGGACGGCCTTCTACGCGCTGTTACCAACAAGTAGTTCCATGCTAGGTATTGCCAAATCATGAATTATCTGTGACAATCTACATCAATCCACTGTGTGATACTTTTGATACTCAAACACAACCAGTCGTGCTTTCCCTCCTACAAGCTTTTTGTGTTTTGCCCTCATTGAAATTATACCCATATCATATATCAAAAATTCACCAAACGTCCATGTGTCGGGTGCTGGGTGCCACTGCGCCTGATTGACACCCTGCAGCTGGTCAAAGAACGCCTGGTTAGCACTGTTTCAATGGGGCCACACACTCTCACAAACATTCTTCCATTCGAGATGGCCACTGTTTCGGCCATCGTTGTGTTGTGAACCATCAAATTTGTCTGCCCGTCTCTTGTGCTGTAAGAATGGCGAGCAACTAGCCAATTCTCCATGACAAGTCATAAGGCGACATGCTTTGACACCCCAACGGTTTTCCGCTGCCAATGCCTGTGGCATGCATTTTAGCTCCCTCACCTTGTTGAAGGCTGATGTAAGATCGTCAGACCCAAGTGCAGGAGGAAGGCCTTGGTCTTTCGGATTGATGCTGCTCCTAGTAGTAAGGCCAGGAGCCCCTAGTAGCGTCCTTGCTCCTAGTAGCGATGCCCTTTTCTCCTAGTAGCGTATCTTGATGAACTCCTTTTGAATTCCTCAAGAGTCTGTGTTCGTTTGCACTGATGTCCAAAGCTCCACAACCGCGCCTTTTGGACATCTCTCAGTTGCTGTAAGTCTTTGTTTAAGATCCCTGAGAATCAAACCCGCCATGAAAGCCATGATGCCTCTGACGCATCGCATAGCCAAACGCTGGCCGCAGGCTTTGCCTGCAAAGGACTAGTGCCAAACCACGAGATACACAGCAGCCATGCAAATCCCCCGGGTTCGCCGGATTCTTACGTAGCTGTTTATTTAAAGTCTTTTTCAACTTTAAATTGTTGAACATAGTTTTTCGTAGTTTAATGTTTAACAAATGGCTTCCAGCCGAGTGCTCCCTTTGCAAGAAACACTCAAGCCATTCAATGACACCCATGGGCAACTCTCGCTTTGTTCACCATGTTCCAAGGAAAATGGAAATGCAAAACAGGAGCGGCCCGGCCTTGAAGCGGAAGCAAGCAAACAATGAAGCAAGGAACAAAAACAAATGCGTGGACATGAACCCGTGAGTGCCTACTTCCTATCCATGAGTGCACCGGTGCATGTCTGACAACATGTGGCTGAATGATTCAGGAATATGTGTTCACTCTGCAAGCAATCTTATGAATTTTGAAAGCATCGGGAATCTGAATGTGTCTGGATTCCTTCTGTGGTATATAACTAACGTGCTGGGCGGACATCCTTAAGGTTATTCATTCGCTTGGTGCTTTGCCAGGATCTATTTACTGTATATACTTAATATATGTTTTGTGCTGGGGCAGGGGAAGCTGTAAGCCACAGCGGCATTGGAACTCTTGCCACAACAGCAAAATGATATTGAAACTCTAAGACTCTAAGGCGACACCATTTTCAAATATCAGCAATGCTTTGACAGTGACAGTTCTTCTCCGTCCGGATGAAGAGTCTGAAGGCACACCAATGACCATCCTAATGCACCTAATCTCATGCCTTTGGCTCCTTTTGGCGCTAGCAGCACTTCACCGCTTTGCAGGACGCTTGGCAACTTTGACGGCGCTTGCAGGCCGCTTTTCAGCAAGCCGCTTCACTGCAGCGGGGCGCTTCAACGGTATTGCTGCCTTCGTGTCCAACGATACAACAATGAACCGCCAAAGAGCACTAAACGTCCCCGAGCCACTATGTCATCAAAATCATGAATTTACAATTCTCTTGGTTTGATGGTATGGGCAAGCGAATCCAAGTGCCAACATTTCGGAAATAAACACCGGTTTGGGTATGTTTTGGCTCTATCTCAGCCAGGGATCCTCTCTGTCTCCAACACTGCACTGCACTCGGTTCTTCTTGCAACTGATTCACTGCAACTGAAATAACTGAACCTTCGTTGCATGTGCTGTATACAATAGCGGCCAGCGCAAAGATTGATCGAACTTTTTATCAGTTTTCATTGATGAACATCATGAGGTGAGAAAAAATCAGTGCAAGGCTCATTCATAACTTCAGTGCGGAAATCATGACAGCAAGAGCACGTAAAAGCACTGGGCCTCCATCTTGATCTCGGTAGCTCCAGGGCCTGGTCCCTTGGCACCCATGTTCTGAAAACATCTAAGGACACTTCTCAAAGCGCACAGTATTTTTGTGATCATTACTTATTATGTACGTATCATCTTATGATATTTTATGTCCTTGTAAAATCTTGTAAATACCCCTTGAGGTTAAGTTCATTGATAAATGTTGATTGCTTGTTAACAACTGTGATGACGCAACTGTTTCACTTTTGCCTCACTTGTGTCGAAATGTCGTCTCTCTATGCGTCTTGGATGGGATGCAAGCAGTGATGAAGAACTCGGAGCTTGAAGCGTTTCCTGGGAACTCCTGACAGTGAGAACTGACATCGGGAGCATCCCAAAAGCATCACATTGGCGAATGAAATGAAACTCTCAAAAAATAGCAAAAGAGATGAAGAATGGAAGGTAAGGTGGCCTTATCTGACCTTGTCTTCCTTTGTTAATCTCTTTTGTCGTCCGAGTCCTAGTTCCTTTTTTTCCAGTGGAGATCGATGGAAGTTGGCCAATAAGGTTCCATCTCCGATATCGTTTGATGCCTTGACATAGCTCTCTCTCCATTTACGAAGGAATTCGGGCGCATCATCACGTCTCACAATAGCCTCACTGTGTGTAGGGACAATGCCCTTTTCAAGGTTTTGCACACAACAAAACATCTAAGGATCTCAACAAAAACACTGCCGCCAAAGCCAGCACCAAAGGCGGAAGCTGCTACTGCCCCCAAGCACCGAGCCTGGCGGAAGAAGGTTTGCAGAACAGGAGCTTCCTGTGAATGTGTGTCCTAAATTAAGTGCAATGCGAAAGCAAAACAAAAAGCACCGAGAAGCCCAACAGCTGCCCTGTCACCAGTGTGGACAGATCCGGGCAGCGGCGGTGTTTCTTTGGCAGAGATGGTGCGAATCTAAATTCCTAAAACTCACCTTGCGCTGCTTTGGCGTCTCGAATGCGGATCAGCAGTGCTTCGACCTTAGGCCAAAGGTGCTTCACCAGCTTGTTGTTCTTGACAGGTGAACCATCTTTTGTGAGGCCACAAGTTTCCAAGGATGCATCAACTTGGTCAGCCATGAGCAAAGCGTTCGAATTGATGCTAGCCAGGCTGTTGAGCAAAAGAACCAAATTGGTGGCGCACTCCTCATTGGCCCATGAGGCCAATGCAAGCTCCTCCAGAAGTACAGGGATGATGTGCGGACCCACCTTGAGCTTGTTCTGCCCAAGCAAACAAAGCTGTCGCAGTGCAAAAAGCAACTTTGATTTCAGCTTTGTATTGGGTTGAGCAGCATCATTCACCCACAAAAGGCAAGCGACGACAGGGAAGCTCTCAGAGATTAAGCTGCGAGTGTCCGAGTCATTGCATAGCTGGCCCAGGACACTTGCTACTTCAGCAAGGATCCGTTGCTTCCTCAAGTTTTGGTAGGAAGATGTGAGAATGTCCACCAACAACGGAACGCCACCCTCCTTCACCACGATAAATCTGTGGTGAGGAGTCTTCGTGAGGTTCACGAGCAGATAAAGGGTGTAAAGGGTAAGCTCATCATGCTTGACCTTCAACTGCTTCACACACAAGCTCAAAACTCCATGAGAAACGAGCAACTGCTTCATAGTGTGACGACCACACGATAAGTTGACCAAGGAAGCAGTTGCGTAGGACATCAGGATGTGGTTCGAGCCGCTCATAACTTTCACCAAGGCCGGAACCAATTGCTTGACAGCCTTTTCAAATCTGTCCTCTTCATCCTCATGAGTTTGATTACCCACCATTTCCAGAATGTGTCGGCAAACCATGGTTCTCAGGCCCAAACCTACAGTCTCGTTGGTCAGCAGCTGTGCTAGCAAATCTGCATAGTCTGCGCCAGAACCAGGAGGGCGCTTTTTCAGCTCATTTTCCACGAAGCCTTCCGAGAGTAAGTGTTTCATGATCGTGTCATTGAAAGAAAAAGTTGTGAAATTCTCTGGATCCTTAGCAAGAGCACCTAAGGTGATCTTCTGCTCCTTCTCCAAGAAGTAACTGATTTCCCAGTTGTCACGCTTCTTCACATGCAGCAGAAAATCTATCACTGCTTTCATTGAGGAGTCTACATCAGAGGAAAGTCGGCCCAACGACTGGATCAGGAGAGGAAAGGTGAAGCGATCTCCCAGGATGCCACCATCCACGCAATAGGCAAAGTATCGTGCAATGCGAGCAGCCCAGGCATTCCGGCGCTCCGTTCGATCACTGGATGTTTGCAGCAAAGATTCCGCCTCACTGATCAGCTCCTCCGGCACTTGCAGCGGATCTGACATCTCTGAAACGTCTTTGAAAATGTCTGCATGCTCAATCGACTCGTCCCATAAAGCACTTTCATTCACCAGGATTTTCACGATGGACTTCACAAACCTCACTGCTACACGGCGATGAACTGGCACCATTCCAAGCTGACCCTCTGCCCAGCGATATCCGTCTTCAGTGAAGTGGAGGGTATCAAGGCGTGCTTGCACCGGCCTCTTGTAAATGCCCACATTTTCATACACCGAACTCATTGAGTCGGCGATGCACTGGCACTCGTCCAGGATGACCTCGCAAGAGTCTTTGGTCATGCCCTGAGCAGGGCAGCGAATCACCACTGCGATATCCTGGCATGTACTGCACAAAGGTGGAATATATTGGCGCCGAAAGAACACACAAGCAAAAGCATACTCCTTGGAGCGCACAAAAAACTCCCAACCATCCCAGGCTGCAATATCATCTGTGCGATTCATCTTCTTGAGGTATGGCCCGGAAGCAACCACATAAAATTGGTCCAGGTTCTCTGTGAGACTACGTTGGTACTCCATGGCCACTGTTCTCAATTCGTCCATGCCATCTCGCGACTTCTCCAAATCCATGATGAGCTGCTCGTTGTTCACCTGGATCATCACTCTGATGCCTGGTGGCACGGAGACAGGCTGAGCTTTGTAGTTCACTTCCCAACCCTCGTCATTTTGGAACACTCCATCTTTCAGACCTGAGGTGCTCTTGAAGCCATTGCGCAACCAAAAGCTGTATCCACGGAAGTTGTACTCGTCCGTGTAGCCACGGAATGGTTCTATTTTGATGAGGTCACTTTGCACAGCGGAGCTCTTCTTTGTCATCTGCTCCCCCAGGGCGGCCTTCACCATCTCAAACTTTTTGACTTCGAACCGTCGATACATCAACTCTGCCTGCCAGCACAATGATAGCTTCTGCATCAACAACTCACGGTGTGCGCTTTGAATCAGAATCCGTGTTCCACTCCAATTCGAACCCTGTGAAGGGCATATCTCCAGCAAAAAGTAACGCTTGGTGGAGGTGTCGACCACAGCACGTTCAATGTCTAAATATGACAGCCTCTCTCGCCCTTCTATGAGCTTGCTCATTTCTCTATTCACGAAATACACAAAATGTTTGGAGATGCAAATATTTCCTCTTAGTTCCTGGTCATCAAAAGTCAGAAGAACACGTTCGAACATCTGCAAAGCATCTTTACAAACGGAGGCAAGAACATCCAGGATCACTGGATCTGACGACATTGCGTCAAGGACTTTGGGTGGGTGCCAAAACAATGAACAAAACACCTTGTTGTGGCTCTTGTGGTTGCGAAACAAACCCGCGCATATATACGTGGCACTTCAAGTCTAGTGACTATGTAACAATCTTGTTTGTATCTGATTCAATCAACGACTGTTGGCACCGTACTTTCTTTGTTGCTCAAATCTTCTCAAGGTGCCCCTTTCTCTGACCTCATGCAATTCGGAGCATGAACTTGATCCTGAACGCTTGTTCCAACAAACCTGGAAGAGAACAACCTGAAACAACACTACTAACTATTTGCTGAGTCAAGTCCCCACACCTCTAATTTTAAAGGAGCAGGGCCATGCCCTGACAAAAAATGCAACAAACATAGCGTTCAGCACGGGCCAAAAGCTCAATGTATCATCATAGACTCATAACAGTCATAACACTAGTCATAACATATACAACATAAATATATATATACACGTCAATCAAGTCTACAGGATAAGCTCAAACATCGGAAACCTCCGCCGGCAGCCAACGCGTCTCTGGCACCAGGTTCCTGCAAGTCAGTGTCTCTTGACAATGACAGGCAGACGGGTGTGAAGCACATCGCAACATTCTTAAGAAGGATTAACAATTAAATGCGGGAGTGGAACTGGAGGCCAGCATCACCTTGTTCCTGAGAGAGTTCAACCTGTGTCGCAGTGCAATTTCTACACGAAACAAATTGCAGTTTAATTAATAGCAGTTGGAGAACTTCTGAGGGAGAGACCAGCCGACCAAGTTCCCTTTCATCAAATGAATTAGCGGAGACCGCCTTGCGACGCTGGACTAAAAAAGCCTGCACGTTTTCAAGCCGATACTATATAGTATGGAGGTATGGAGGTTTGTGGTACACAGCCATTGCTCACCACACTGTCCTTCTAGATCCGAATCCGATGTCTACTCCATGCGTCCCCTCTGATTGTATCTGGCCAATAAATTCCTCGTTGTGCCCAGAAAGGTCAAACTTGTCAACTCGCGACATGCCCTCGTACCTTTGCTACGCCAGGCACGCAAACCTCCAAGACTGAAGAAGTTAGGTGCCATGATGTGCCATGTTACCTTTGTGGTAGTTCAGCCTAGGAGTGCCCAAGCCTCGCTCTCGATGTAGAACTGGCGAAAACGGACATCTAGATGTTCGGTTCCTCCACCAACAGTCCATATAGGCGTCAAACGCCTTTCGTCTCTCATTCTGACTCATTCTCTTCTACATTATTCTTCCTTTAACTGTTGTCTATCTCTTCTGGGTCACACTCTTGGCGTGCCTTTTGCCCGCAGCACCGCTGAAATGGTCTCACCTCAATTCTTTGCCAACCCCAATTATACTATAGATTACTAGGCAACACATAGGCAGGACAACTGGGCAACACATTCTTACAATGTCTGAGATGCCCGAAGAGGTGATCGCTTTTCTCATTGTCTCCCTTCAACGGATCTTCATGACAAACATATTCCTTTTCTTCCGTTCTCTAGTAGGGTGGAGGCCATCGCTAGTAGGTTGGAGGCCATTGCTACTAGGGTGGAGGCCATCGCTAGTAGGTGTTGCCTTCCATTCTTTTCCTCCAACTCCGTGGCCCTGGCAGGCTGCCTCGCCACAGCTTCGCACACAGCTTGCTAGGTCAGGACATTGATTGCCTGCGCCAAAAAGGGCTCAGGGTCAGGGCAGAAAGCGCAGCTCGGATCGATTTGGATCAGTTCTCACACAAGCTTGATGTGTTGGCTCGTACGCATTGGCTCATTGCAAAGGTTTCACCCCTGGTTGCGTGCCGCACCTGTGGTACTAGGGAGTGCAGTGTAGTGGAGCCAGCAAGGACAATAAATTTAAGGCAATGAAACGAGCTCAGCAAGAACTGCAAGAAGAATTAGCCGCTTGAGTCCAAAGAGCTTTGCTTGTTGGGGGTGGGCTTCTTGGCGTTTCCCTGTTGCCTGTGGAGGCTTGAAAGGTCTTGGCCGCCAACGCCGCCAGGTTCGCGGCATCATTGTAGTTGTTCATTTTGTCCCTCACTGACTCCGTGTTACACTTCACCACATGACGTCGGTCACGTGAAAGCTATGCTGAGGATTTGGCCCCGTCTTCTCAGCAAGCACACCACTAGATGCGACGACAAAGGTCAAGTGGTCCGGAAAGGGTGCAATACCTCTCCGACAAGATGTCAAACCAGAAGAAGCAGTGCAAAAGAGGGACACAGCAGCCAACAAAATTGGAAACCGCTATACTATACACAGATCCAATTCTGAGATGATTGCTCTCCAGTCTTGTTGGTTTGTATGAGAAAACCTGAACACTGGACAGTGGCAAGCCATGCACAACGTCTGCAAACAGTCATTTTGAGCCGGCAGCTTTCAGTTTTCCTTCCTCTGAGGACATGATGGCTGTGTGGTCCTTCGCGAAAGAAAACTCCCTCTCTCTCTCTGCCTCCTACCAAGCCACTTGGCCGCGTCCTCACTACCACCGAAAGTCCCTACACCTGCAATCGTTGCAATATAGCAACAGAATGCAACAGTCTCAGCTCAGTGCAACTGTCCCCAAACTCACCTTGATCTCCCGTCAACTCGCCGCACGACCTTTGCTGTCTTGCAAAATGAAACATTCTGGCCACAGCGATGCAGCAGCGATGGCTTCGCTCGGAAGTTTTCGAGGTACAAACTGGCCGTTCTCAATGCAACCCAAATATTCATACAGCTCCTCCAGCAGAATCAACTTGCATCACGACTAGGCAACTCTGGAACAAAGCCACACAGCCTTCTATTACTGTGTCCTCTTCTTTCTTGAAGGTCGCCACAAATCTTAGGCAACAAAGGATTCGCCAATGGATCTTCTCTGGTCATCAGGCTTTGACTCATTCATGCATCTCGGTCTCAAAATATGTCTATGGATTATGTTTAAAATGAACGATTGTATATTTAAGCTGCGGAAGGTCTTCATGCTTGGAAATGATATAAAGGCCAATGGTCTGAGATATCCGACTTTGGATGTTTTTGTAGACCATTCCGCACCTCAGGAATGAATGAACCAATCGTGTCCCAGATTTGGCCGGACTTCAAGCCACTAGTCTGTCTAAACTGTGCTCCACGCATCCAGCACCATGTACATAGCCTGCCAAGTCTACTCTCCAAAAATGTACAAAGTGCTAGTTCCTTGCTCCTAGTAGCGATGCCCTTTGCTACTAGTAGTAAGAATGCTAGTAGTAGTAACGCCCTTTGCTCCTAGTAGCCGGAGAGCAAAGCAAAATGTTACTCCGTTGCTGAGTGATTGACGCAAATTAGAGCGGATGAGGTGCTCATTCCTGAAAGAACGTCGGAAACAGGTAGGCGCCATCATTCAGCTGGAACCGCAGGAGCATGCAAAAGCAAGTTTAATCTGATCTTCATGCGTGCAACACTTAAGACCAACATGTACAGTAATAGGAATGTAGAGTTGGCTAGGAACAGCGCTGCAAACGTTAGATAGAAGGCTCTGGCTTCATGCATGTAGCAACATGCCGGCAATTTGTCAGTCCCGATGCTGGAGGCAAATCACATGAAATTGCCACCTTCGCACCGCAAAAGCATGATCATCTGCCTTCTCTTATTGGGTGTTTCTTGGAATTTGTTTGAGTGGCTAATTGTAGCTTTCAAGGACACGTCAATGACACCAGTTGCCTGCAGTTGCCAACCTGCAGCACCATGCGTTATGCCAAGCGGCATCGCAACCAAGCAAATGCCCAAAGTTTTGTGAGAGCCGCCGAGCTGCCTTTGTTTGCTGATGCAAGAACAATGCCTCACATGTATACAAATACCTTACAAAGGAAACTTTGGCAAAATCTTCAAAGCCACGTGACTCACACATACAACCACGCCACTCTACATTTAATGCCATCTCAAGCTGCGGTAGCAATATACAAAGACCAATGGTTGCTCGCAACCTCTCGAGATGAATGGGTGCACTTGGGTTCTCGCACATGAAACTCGTACAACTCGGCAAGGAATTTTGAGGTTATCTCGAAGGATTTTTCAGATTTTAAAGCAAATCTCATGTCTCTTGAGAGCGTTTTGAGCAATTTGGTCGGAAATTGCGGAGTGAGGAAATGTCCTGAGCTTCAACTTACCATGTCAATGCAATTGATGAACAAAGATCCTAGGAACTGAACATAAATTCTATCTGGCAAAGATTTAAAAAAGTGGCAACGGGCTTGGAGGTTAATGTTGAGACAAAATCGAACCGACTCAAAGCAGTGCGGCACCTCTGTGTCCGGGCTTAGTCGCACCTGGCCGAGTATCTACAAACTGAAGGCAAACGCAGCAGATTTTATGTGAAACAACTGCAAGGATTCATTGCTGAGAACTGTTTACAGTCAATTACTATAACATACTGTAACCGCGCATTTTAAGACCCAGCAGTGTGAAAATGGACGATTTCGGGACAATCAACTTGTCTCAGAAGCGAACCGAGCACTGCAGGACTTCCTCATCTTGATCAGCTTTTGACTTTAAGCTCACCTGAGAGGCATTTCCAATGCGTAGCCTAGCTGGCTAGCTGCATTTCCAATGCGTAGCCTAGCTGGCTAGCTGCATCACTTCACTTGCGAGCTGCTATCCAACTTTCCAAATAGCTGTTCATATGGTTTTCATGGGTCTTCAAAACTTCAGATTTATTGCGTACAGCATGCAACTGCTGGCAGCCATTGCTGGCATGAAAGACATGTCGCCTGTGCAAACGCAGTTGTTCCAATGATATCCCGGGCACCATTTCAGGCTTAGCTACTTGGCGGCTTGCTAAGACGGTGGCCACCCGAAGCTCGTCGTCACCCCGATCCACCGACAGGACGCAAAAGCCCCGACTGTCATTGGCAGCAAAAGTGGAATTCAAGTCTTAGGATGCCATAAGCTGATTTTGTTTCCAGGACTCGCGCAGTTCTTGTACAAACAAGTCGTATTTGGAACTGGACTGACAGGGGGTATATTATAGGATCAGCATTAATGAACGGTACTTTCAAGACTGCTTGCAAGCACATTGACGATCGATAATGGGATTGCAAATGCTGAGTGTCTCACGGACGAAGGATCCTATACAAATATATATATATATATTTGTTTCTTGATTCTTTTTGATTTTGTAAAACTGAGTATCACATAGTATCACTGGATTGTCCTACTTTGGATAGCTCAAGCGAAGGAATCCATTGAGGCTCTCACTTGACTGCGCAAACGCAGGATCGTCCGCCTGCATAGTCTGTGTGTTTGCCAACAACCTGCAGCGTCAGTTCCAACACGCAAAACGATGCAAAACGACTCAGGTTCCTGGACTTCCCATCACCTCAAAGGAATAGAATAGATAGCGAACCATTGCTGCAAGTAGATGACTGTACTGTGCTCTCAGCTCTATATATTGCTTTAGCGTCAGCTTGAAGTAACATATAGTCACGAATACGACAGACAAACTCTTCATTGCCACAAACACCCCACCTCTATCCGTCCGGGGATCCAAAAAAGTCGGCAACGCCTCTCGCTGACTTCTCTAAAGCATGGAGCACGTATGAACCCGTCTTTGCCGAAAGTGCTTAGTGTGATTAAAGGGGCTCTGAGTCTATCGAAATGAGGTTGTCTTTCAAGAAAAACAGTCTGCTAACTACTCGTTGTCTAAATCTGAGTGGCGAAAGAGAGTTGCTTAGGTTGGGCGCACCGTTGGAAACGTCCACATGCTGAGGGGTGTGAAAGAAAGGGCTGTTGCTAAGATTTGCAAGATTGTTTTTTGGCTCATGCATTTAAGTTTATGATAGTTTATGGCAACAAACCTGTCAAATCCATTGTGAGCCTGTAGGTATTGCACTCCTAGTGGTACTTGCAGTGTCTTCCACACCTAGTCTCTCTTTGACTTCCTTCATACCAAACTGCCAGCACATTACTCCCAAATTCCTAAACTGTTTCAAATCGTGCCCTTGCCTGTTGGGTTTGATGCCGAGTTCTTCCAACTGTAGAGCAGCCTCAGCTGAGAATTCATCTAGAGGTGCCAAAGACTGACTTTTGTATGTTCGGGCAGGAATTCATCAAGGCTCTTCATTGCAAGATTGATTTCACAGTTGAGGAAAACCACCGGCAAGTGAACAATATTGAATAAGAATCCGCGGAAATGGACCGGTGTGCTGTTCCGCGTGCTCACGCACAACAAAGCTGTTTTGCTCGAACACAACTTGCTAAGTCTGCTAAAGTATATACTTATTTTGCTGGCTTAATTGCAGTAAACCTATTCAAACCAATCATGCCACAGTGCCACAGTTCCATAGACTTGCAGTTTCTGTTTCAAGCGCAACTTGGACCAGGCTTTCGATATAAGAGTCACCTTCTCCCGCAAATAGTCAGGTAACTGGCCTCCGAGGGCCAACTAATCTTGGCCTTTTGCAAAACATCCATGCCAAAGCAATCCAACCGCAAGCAGTTTGGCTTGAGCGAATCAAAGAACTTGAGTAGCAATGAATCATCAGGTGTCATTCAGGAATATCATGACAACTTTACAACTCAAGGGCTCAGCTTATATCAACCAAGCTTGGCTACATAGTCACTTTTTTCTGAAACCGCAAATTGTTTAGACTCAATTAAAGCATTGGCTCCGCAGCAGCGCCATCTCTATCGTGAACTCCAGGACCTCCACAAATCTGCTCTGATAAGTCAGATTCTCCGTCAGAATTGTCCGTGCAAATCCTTGCCACTACGACGGCGACGTCAATACTTGCTGACGGCGACGACCAAGCCATGTAAAGAACGTGACCGGCGACCGTGCAACAGCCTTGGCGCCCCTCCAAATGCGACGGCCAATCCGCCGCAAAATGAGTAGCAAAGCAGTGCCCGATACTCGCAGCAAGAAGACCGTTATGGCCAAAGCAAGTGCGGGAATCGCCCGAAAATGCAAGCGATTCCACTGGCTTCTGAGGATAAAACGAAGGGCTCGCCGATCGCGCTGGGCCCTGTGCCTCTGCAGCTTCTCGTATTCTGGAGATCCGACTGGAGGCTCCGGTCTCGTGACTTGATTTGCTGGCTTGAACAAACGCGATTGGCTAAAGTCAAGCTTTTTCGCAAGCCAAACTGCAACCTGCTTGCGCAAGGACCTAGCATCCCGAGATGCCAAGAAAGAGAAGAGTGCATTGAGATCGATATCGTAAGCCATTCTTCTGAGGCATTGACCCTCTGTAGAACCCAGCAAGCCTTCAAGTGGTCGGAAGCCACTGTCGGATGATGAAGGATCGCTGTCTTCCGCATCCAACAAAGTCATGGCAGTATCCTCTTCAGGATCTGGTGACTGCTCTGTGCTTTTCAAGAGTTCCTTCAACTCTGACCACTTCACTTCTCCTTTCTCTGTCAGTACATTATTCCGCAAGGCGGCCCGAGCCTCGGCAGTACTAGGAGAAACGAGCCGTCGCAGGGTTATGGGCAATGCCGTTGTATAAATATTGAAGTCGGGATCATATGATGCTGCAATCCCCTCCAATGTCACGAAGGTCCTGGTCATCAAAACCACATAGTCAGGTGTAAGCATCAAGTATCTATTCGACAACCGTTTCAATGCAGCCGCCATATCTCCAAACCGGGTCTGTGCATCCTGATCCTGGCCAACCTCTTGACCGAGAGCTTCCACGAACTCACTGAATGTACTATCGACCCATAGAGGACGGGTGCTGTTTGGCCGCAAGTTTCCTCAGCTTGATGTGTCCTTCTAGTCTTGAATTGCACGGCATGCTTGAAATACGGAATGTGAACAAATACGATACACAATGTAAGAAACAACACCACCAACACCACTATTTGAAGTGAACACCAAGACCTGCTAAGAGCAAGCTTCGCTTGACGGGATCAGGCACAAACTCCACAGTTTGCATGGAATAGGCCAGTGCCGTCCAATTCTGGGACACTACTGAGCGGATGCCATCAGCAAAGCCTTCCATAACCCTCGGCGAAACCCGGTCCATCAAACCGAAGTCCAGGAAGCAAATCCGCCCATCGCGCATGTACTTCAGATTCCCTGCAATTCAGCACACATCATCATGCATCTATTTAGACAATCAATCAGCTAATTTTCATGCAACTCCTCAACAGTTCGTTTAACACAAAACCTTCGATTTGTTGAGGGCCCCAACACCATGGAGTAACACATCTCAATCTGTTTCCAGCGAGGAAGAAATGACCATCTTCATTGTGCCGCCATATCCAGTCCTTCATGAGGATCAGCGTGCACAAAGCCAGTAATGAGAAGCTGCACCAGGCAGGCTTCTGCAGCCAAGCGCACGGCACGATGCCGCAAGTGTTGTGGTAGCTCAGCAAAGTCAAGGCCATCGGCCCAGGCTGTGGCCAAAACACGGCAGTTGCCCTTCGGCCCCGTGTATTCCTTGGCTGAAAAACACAAATGTTGGTTGCCTTGCTGCACCATCAAAGCATCCATCAAAAACAACCCAATACAAAAGGTGAATGACAAACCTAAAACCATCCAACCAATATAGATAGATAGATAGATAAATAGATAGACTTGGACACGCATGATGCAAAATGCAGTTCTATGCATGCAAAACAACTCCCACACCAAGCTTCATGGATCCATGCAGGGGCCGTGACGAATCCTAACCACATGTGCTCTCGGATGAAATCCTCCATGTTTCGCCCTTCATTGTGATAGTCCAGCTCCAAAAAAACTCCACCAGCGACACCATCTGCCAACTTCGCAAAGTCGTTAAAGGAGCCGAAGATCCTTGTAGAACAAATACATGCTTGCTGTGTGTGTGTGTGTGTGACATATACAAATATACACCTGCCAACATGATTGGTTAAGGTTGTTGGACATGATACCCTCCCAGGGATATGTTGGCACAAGCTTGTGTTCTCCTTACACCACCAAACCAAGCGTAACTCAGATTCTGTGGCAGGAGGACTTGTTGGTGCTTTCCACAAGCCAGGAGTCCGGAGTAATATTGCACCATCATGTAAACGAGCTGGCAGCACAACATAGCAAAAAAGAACTCTTGTGACCTGTGGCAACCTAAGAGTTGTGCCGCCCAACTCCCCCTGCTTTGCAAGCGTCAAGCGCTGGAGCTTCAGAGCCAAGAACCAGCAAACCCAATCGCAAGCAACCAATCGAGCCACACCAGGACGCATGACTTTCAAGGCAATATACTGGCCCTCTTTGGTCTTTGCCTTGTAAACCTGCAAAGCGTGAACACTTTCGAGCACTACATGCAGCATGCTTGTTGGCAGTAGTGTCAGCAGCAGCACACAAAATAGTACAACAAGTAGTAGTAGTAGTAGTAGTAGTAGTAGTAGTAGTAGTAGTAGTAG